CGTGGGGGCCAAGAACTGCCTGTCTGGTGATGGGCCTTCTCCCGCCGAAATGACCTCTGCAAAGAAATGAAGGGGAATTGCACAAGGGAGCTGCTCCTCTGGGGAGCAAGGGCCTGAGGGTTTGGGGGATTTTTTTGTGGGGTTTTTTCTTCAAAGGATCTGAGTTCAGCACAGAAAGAAACACCCAAAACATTTTGTTTTTTTTAAAAAAATTTATATTAGTAAATTTTTAAATTTCTGGCAACCTTTTCCAGGACATTCTAGCAGTTTTCTATTTAAAAGAAAAATTACTGACATAAATGCTGGTTATTTAGCTAAGAGTGTTTTTAATCCCACCTAAGAAGGACAAGAGAGACACATTGCAATTGTGAACTAAATGCCAGTGTTAGGCCTGGATTGAGAATCTGGAGAAACTGAAGCCTCGGGTTTGTGGCTTCCTGCACAGAGGAGAAACAAATGTACGCTCTGGTATTTGAAAGAAAAGCATTGCAACAGAAGTAGTATTTTGAGTTGAATCCAATGAGCTACACGAGTGTGAAACAGCAAAACCCATAAAAACAAATATACTGTTAATATAATATGCTTGTTAAAAAGAATACAGCTTCTACTGGGATTTTTTTAAAAGGAGCCATCTTTCAAATATCTATAAAAGCTAACCCTTCCTGTGTTTAATAGTGAGATAATTATCAAGTCCATTTATGAAGGCTCTTCATATGTTAAGCAAGTATGCTGTCATTACATTTAATTAGATATGTATTCAAATAATTTTAGCATGAAGAGAGGAAATTGTTCAGCAAGCATTCCAGTGCTCAAATAATTTTAGTTTAGATGTCAGAAAATGTATGCTCCCCCTTACAGTTTAATTTTTGGGTAATACAGGCATTCTGCGCTCCATTGGGAAAACACAATTGCACGTTAACCGTTCCAACTTTCTGATTCTTTACCTAAATGTCGTTATTATGTCTGCTCAGAGCGCTGCCGCAAAGTTACTTTTTGGCGGTGGTGAGGTGAAGCTTGTAATCGTACTCAGTTGACTAATTTTCTTCTCAGATCCGCACAGTGGATCTCGGATCAAATATTCATCTTTCCCTTCAGGTGTGGAGCCCCCACTGTGTCTAGCTGGTGTTTTAGACATGTAAAGAGTGAACGTTATTGAAATCAAGGTCTGACATGCAAATGAACACACGTCCTTGTCATTGCCACAGTTATGGAAGGCAGAAATATAGCATGAATATAACTAAATTGCCGGTGATGAAAATCTACATCACCATTTTTTTAATCTACTAGGAGACCGTGGAAAGAAAATATTCCTATTGTATGAGGTTGTTAGTGCACCAGTTTGACAGAGAGATTTTCATATGTGTAAGAGGGATATAGAAGTCCAATCCTGACCCTTGGGTTTTGAAGAAACCGCCCCATAGCTAGATCTTTTCATCTACAAGATGAAGATGTGCTTGCTTTCACAATTTCCCTATGAGAAAGTCAGAATTGCAAAGGAAATGGTAGTTCCCGTGACTTGCTGGTTGATTTTATCCTGAACTGAAATAAAGTTCTTTTCACAAAACTTCACAATAAAAAAGCTTTTCACAAAACAGTAAGGTCAAATTAATTTTAACTTGGAAGTGTTGAAACATGTTCTCCTAACACTTCTTTGACTGAAACAGAATGTTTTGACCTTCTACCTCTTAAAGACTGAATTTTAGTTTGACCTAAATGTACACATTTTATTTTGGGTGAGTATGATAATTGCATCTTCCTGTGGTCTTTGGACGCTTTATCAGAGTTGGATTGTGGTCTTTGCTTGCTTGGATTTCCAAATAGCTTGGGTTTCATAGTCAGATCGTCTTTCCTCTGGAATTGCACCTTCTGAAAATGCTGCTTGGGTAACGTTATCCAACAAGATAGTTCAGCACAGCAGAAAGAGGAAGAGATCCCCGAGGCCCCACAGTATCACAGATGTGATTCAAAATCAAGGGGTTCAGTTCAGTTTGGGCTTGGAACAACACAGCAGAATTTCACTTTTCCATCAAAAAGATGGAATAAAAGCCTCAGCAAAACTTCTTCTGCCAGGAAAAATTTCCCAATGAAAAATTACTGGCAGAAAATTTAGAACCTGCTCTAGTACTTGCTCTGTTACTGCATTGGCATGTGTTGTGGTTTAACCCCAGCTGGTAACTGAGCACCACACAGCCACTCGCTCACCCCTCCCCCCCAAAAACAATGGGGAGAGGAATGGAAACAGAACTCCTGGGTTGAGATAACGACAGTTTAATAGGATA